GCAGTTGGTCCATATCGGCACACATATTGTCTCCCCTATCAAAGGGTCTGTTTAAGAGGGCTATTATGCAAAGCGGGGCCCTTATGTTTAATAGGGACAGACCGGTGTTCAGTACTGTTGAGGGCCTTCAAAAGGCTAAGGATTTGGCGAAAAAACTAAATTGTGATGAATATGACTACAAATGGTTGGACTGTTTGCGAGCCATTGGTGACCCAAACCTTTTCATAGAAAACCCAGAAAATGGGAATACTTTTGCAATCACTCATCCAGTATTTGGCACTGAATTTCTACCTATACTCCCACAAAAGGGGTTTAGAACTGGTTTATATAATACTGGTAATTTAGTATTAATAGTTTGTCATTATTTCAAAAAAACAAAATAATTTTTTATATCTACCATAAGATGTTGAGCTAATGGCTGGTGTAACGGGTGATGAGGGCTGGCTGTTATCCATGGGTATAATACCTGAAATGCGGACACAAATATCGGTTGAACTGTTTCTGAGAGCTGTCTCTGCAATAAGGACTCAATTTCATAATATAGATCCAAACGAAGTGTCCGATCATTACATCAAAAGTATTAACACAACAAATGTGTCTCAACTGAAGGGTGCGTTGAGCCAACTCTACGGGCATTTATTGGTTACATGTCCGACCTATCACTTCGCCAAACAATTTGCCAAAAGTGGACAAAATGTCTATTTTTATAGATTTAATTATACATTAAATATGGGAAGGATTGCAGGTAAGCCTGGGTTAGTCGACCGGTGCCGTGATACCACATGCCACGGGGCGGACTTGCCGTTTGTGTTTGGACTACCGCTTAGGGATCAACAAATGTTTACGGAAACTGATTATGACTTCAGTATAGATGTAATGAAAATGTGGACTAATTTTGCTAAATATGGGTATTGTATTTGAGTTTAAATATAGCAATTAAAATAATTAAATAATATTTTATGTATCCCATAGCAAACCTCATGAGGAATGGCCACTATTTTTGACTAATAAATCAAATTCAATGCCAAAAGTGAAAGACTTGAATCCCAACGATATGTCACTTGTTTTGGACAATCCTTATAAAAATACTTGTGATGGAGTTTGGGGTCAATATTTTTAGGAAATTAATTATATTTTAATATTCATTAAAGCTTTTCAATATTTGATTATACTACACAAAATTGGTTAGATAAATAACTTAATTAAACAAGAAACATTGTAGACATTAGATTCTGTTACTTAATTCAATTTAATTCAATTATTTATTAAATATTTATTTTAATTAAATATGTTATTAATTGTACAAATAATTCAAATATATGCAAAGTTTACATGCCCCATAACATATTATGTTTATTAAAATACTGTATATTGAATATAAATTTCAATTACTTTGAAACACGAGGTTATTTTTATAATTAAAACCTAAAGACTAATAATTGAAATATTATAAATAAAATAATAAGTTAGATATTATAATACTGTGTTATCATAAAATTGAATATATTTATAAACTATTAGTGGTGGCTTTCGAACTATTAAGAAACACCCATCTGTACAATTAATCCTGGTCATTTTGATTTTCATTAAAATAATTATTGTGATTCATTGCAGATATGAACAAAAATGAGTGCACAAAATACTTTTATTAAAAGGATAGTCATTTGAGATTTGACATTCAAATTGATTCAATTGATGTAATTTGAGCAAATAATTTAACTATTATATAAGCATTTGATAAATTAATTTTTGTATTATTAAATTATTAGATTTCATTGATGCTATACAGTTATATTTTGATGATACGCTAAAATGATTTTAACAAATAAATTATTTTTTCAAATATTCGCCTTTTTAATGGTGTGTTTAATTGAAAGGTGTGTTTGCGATGAGACTAATAGTGTTGTCGTGAATACGAGTTCGGGTGGAGTGAGGGGACAGACACTGAATGTTGTGAATCACAAAATCAATCAATTCTTGAATATACCTTATGCTGAGCCCCCGGTGGGCCCACTCAGGTTCAGTTCACCACAACCCCTCAAAACCCCTAAACAGGTATAAATTAAACTTAAAAATTAATTACATTTAAATTTAAATATTTAAATATTAGGCTGTCATCGATGGCACAGTTAAAGGCAATTCATGTATACAACCAAAAGTCGAGGGACTTAAAGATTTTTTAGGTGAACTGACCACAAGTGAGGACTGTTTGGTACTTAACATATGGACACCTAATGTGAACACTAATGACACTAATGAATCAAAATCACAACTAAAAGCCGTTATGTTTTGGATATACGCTGGAGGATGGACTGTGGGCTCAATATTTCAAGACATTTATAACGGAAGTGTTTTGGCCACCAATGATGTGGTCATTGTTTCCGTTAACTATAGACTCGGACCCTTAGGTTTCTTATACGGTGGCGATCATACCAGTCCTGGAAATCTGGGTTTATATGACCAGTTGTTGGGTCTTAAATGGGTATTCAATTCTTTGTTACTAAGCATTTACTTTATTTCTTAATTTTTATTTGTTTTTCAGGTCCGAGAAAATATACATAAATTTGGTGGGGATAGGGATCAGATCACTATATTTGGTGAGAGCGCCGGTAGTTGGTCCGTATCGGCGCACATATTGTCTCCCCTATCAAAGGGACTGTTTAAGAGGGCTATTATGCAAAGCGGATCCGTTTTGTATAATAAGGACAGACCGGCGCTCAGTACTGTTGAGGGCCTCCAAAAGGCTAAGGATTTGGCAAAAAGACTTAATTGTGATAAATATGACTACAAATGGTTGGACTGTTTGCGAGCCATTGAAGACCCAAACCTTTTCATAGAGTTTCCCAAATATGGAAATATGATTGAATTCACTCACGCAGTGTTTGGCACTCAATTCCTACCCGTTTTACCACAAAAAGCATTTAAACCCAATTTAGGTAATTCTGGTAATTGTATATCTTTTATTGAAATTTATTAAGTCTCATATTACCGGTACTAATACACTGTAATACTAGTATATTTCCACTTATAAATAGTCAATTTAAAACAATTTAAGTAATTAGATAATATGTCATTTAAACTTTATATCAATTTTCAGATTTAACATACAATATAAGAACTAATTTATTAACTTAAGTATTAAATATTCATACAACACTGAATTTATAAAATATAATATTACAGTAAATGTATAATATTTCAAGGAAATGCCAATTCAGATAATATTACATTAATATTTTATATATTTAATTATTGTATAGTTTTGTACGTTTTAAACATAAGTTTGTATTTATAATAATCATTTCAATCAGATGTAGATTTAATGGTCGGCGCCACCAAAGACGAGGGCCCTGTCCTGGCTGTCAGTTGTGTCCCAGAAATGAGGGCTCATTTAACAGTCGAGTCGTTCAAAAGAGCTGTGAATAGACTGAGCGATGAATACCGTAATATAGATGTGGAGGAAGTGTCCGATTATTATCTCAAAAGTATTGACACAACAAATGAGTCCCAATTGAAGAGAGCGTTGAGTGCACTCTATGGGGATTTGGTCATCACGTGTCCGACCTATCACTTCGCCAAACAATTTGCCAAAAGTGGACAAAATGTTTATTTTTATAGATTTAATTTCCAAACTAACATATTTGCAAAATTAGGCTGTATTGGGGACACCATATGTGATGCCGCAGAATTACCATTTGTTTTTGGATTACCCCTTAGATATCAACACATGTTTACGGAAACTGATTACGACTTCAGTATTAAAATAATGAAGATTTGGACAGATTTTTCTAAATATGGGTATAAATTATAACTATAATAAAAATGAATAATATAGTTTTTATTTTTAAATAAATTCTTTTCAATTTTTTATTTTATAGAAAAGCACACAATGTTTGGCCGAAACTAATAGACATTTCGGACGCGAATTCAGTGCCAAAAGTGAAAGACTTGAATCCCAACGATATGTCACTTGTTTTGGACAATCCTTACGGAAGTACTTGTGATGGCATTTGGAGTCAATATTATTAGATAATACTTATTTAATAAATGTGTTTATCATTAAATTGTTATATGTTTTAGTGAAATAGTAAATAATTCGTTAAATTTAATTATATTTATAAAAATTAAATTTTAATGTTTTTAATTAAGAATTGATAATTCAATAAAAAACAAAATTATTATACCTGTAATTCTAAATATTATGTACTCACCGCATTAATTTGCTAAATAAAATTATTATTATATTAATATTACCGTACATATTAAGCAATAATACCTCCATAATTATGTAGCATAAAAAATAATAATAACTTTGTCATGATAATGATAACTTATTTAATTTGAAAAAAGTTTTGTTATAATAATTATAATAATTATAAAACTTAACAAACTTTTTATGAAATAGTTTCTATTATATAATTGAAAACTTTCATTCGCTGTGAGTTATATAAAAAATCTCAATATGGAGTCCAATGCAAATGAAATGACCAAAACATTTAAACTTCTTTTAACTGCATTCTTATGCTTGATGAATTTTCTAAACGTAAATATTTTAAAATTTAACTTATAATGAAATTAATTGTAAAACATCAGGATTTAGATAAGCAATGTTAATTTCTTTTCAAACTATATCTAGTTGATAGTATATTAGATACAGTACTAAATTTGTTAGATAGTTTACAAAAATCCTGGTGATGTTACCTCAATGTTAATAACAATGATAATTTCTAATATAAATACCTTGTTTAAAATGAATAGTCTATAACCTATACCATCGCTGGACCGGCGCTAACAACACTACAGCTGTTATACAACACAACATTGGAAGGCATATCCGATGCTAACGACATGGTGCTCGTGGGTATGACCATGGGCACTTTACGTATGTCACTAACTTCTAATATAAACATATACTGTATATGAAGACCCAGAATATGAGATGAGTCTCTGAAAAAATGCTTTAATTTTATCTATAAGTATAGCTTTTATGTAAAGTTTGAAAGTTAGCAAGTTTATTATAAGTGACATATACTGTACTAAACATACTTATATATGAATATCTATATTTTTATGGAAAATATTTTATTTATAAACAAATTGCCATTTGTATGTTTTTGAATAAAATAATCAATTATATTTAAAATATTATTTAAATTAAACATTGTGTATTTTATAGGTATCAATTTAATAATTTAATTAGTTTAATAATGTCTTTCAATAACATGAATGAGTTTCTCGATTATAGTGAATACGATTTGTTAGAAAAACAAAATGATTCAAACAATTCAAAAACACAGATCTGTAAAAACAAATGCAAAAAACATAAATTGAAATAAAAAATATAGATATTCATATACAAGTATGTTTAGTACAGTATATGTCACTTATATTAAACTTGCTAACTTTCAAACTTTACATAAAAACTATATTTATAGATAAAATTAAAGCATTTTTCAGAGACTCATCTCATATTCTGGGTCTTCATATACAGTAGTAATGGTAGTTTACTTTCAATTTTCAAGTATATGCCTATCAAAATATAAATAAGCCACTTATTTGTGCGGGTTGCTTAATATTGACCGGGTTAACCTTTATTGTGACACCGGACCTGAAATTTCTTCAAATATTATACCCTGTTAATTTAATATATGGCGTAAGTTTTGTTGGCACGTCAGTCCTTATCAACGTATGGGTCATAGAGATATGGGGCCGGGAGTGTGGCCCGTATTTACAGGCTACACAAATTTGTGTCAGTGTTGCCGCTATGTTAGGATCAATAATTGTGGATCCATTCTTAAATGTATCAAGATTATGGTTACCTTACATGTTTATTGGCGTTATGTGTATTATATGCGGTATAACATTAGGACTCATTTATTTTTGGGTTCCAAGTATTCGTATGAAAACTGCTCTTGGTACAAACACAGACAGTGGGTTTAAGAGAATCATTAACGATTTGAAATCTCAATTACATATTTCAAGAATAAAGCTAATATCCGTAATACTTTGCGCGTGTTTATTAAGTGCGGCAAATAGTATTGGGTCGCCCATTGAGAGTTATATATCGACATTTGGGCAGAAATGTTCCCTGGACATGAGCCCTGATATTGCATCGTACCTGGTCACTGATTATTCCGTTTGTACAATAATAGGCAAGGCGGTGACAATTATATTTGCTAAGTATTTGTCGTCTCAATATATAATATTCAGCGGATTGTCACTAATATTATTTGCGACTATAATATGTGTCACGTGTTTCCAGTACTCGCAATACGTGTTGTGGGTGACAGTAGCTGTATGTGGAATAGGTTCAGGACCATTAATTGCTGCATTATTTGAACTTACATCTCAAATTACCATGTTCACTAATATAGTCGGAGTGCTGCTGATTTTAGTGACCAATTTGATCGCAATTATATTGCCATTAATTTTAGGTAAAACTATGGAAATCGATGTGTTTTCTATGTTTTACTTAATGATTGGCTTTAATGCAATATCTCTGATATTTATAGTTATAATTCATATAATTGTCTCAAAATATATTGTGTATAATATTGATGACAACAATAATACTCAGGATATAGCGATAGGTTTGCATAGCATGTGATCAAGATTTGAACTAATAAATACCAAATTAAATAATATTAAATTACTATAATAAAAATGTTTTTGTTTTATTTGTAAAATAAAATATCTGAAAAATGTAATAAAAATAAATGAATTATTTTTCGTTTATAATTAAACTCATTTATCTTGTCCATTGAATTTTAAGTAAGGTTATTATTATTATTGTGCAATTAGAATTTTAAAGTTTATAAGAATGACTTGATAGTTTTTATTTTTAATAATCTTAAATATTTAATGATTTGAAAATAACATACCTACATAATCTTAATAACAATAAATGTTTAAAATAAGTTTTTATTAACTTTATAAAAATGGAGTCAATGCAAATATCACAACTTTTAATATAACGGCAACTTTATACTCAATATATTTAATAAAAGTATATTGTTGAAAATACAGTTAATTTACTCATAAAATAAAATAATTTATCTATGAAAAGCACTATATCTCTATTAATATTTGCTTAAAAAAAATATTCTCTGTTTTAAAATTAAATAAAAATTTTACTATGATTTAGCGAATACTGTGTTATAATTTATATTCCATTCCCTATTTAATAAGTAATTAAACATTTGAAAAACTCTGAAAAATATAACACTACTTAAGATATGAATATTGATTTACGAAGTATTTGAAAGATAATTTCATATAAATTATCATTGACTTTATTAACTAATAATTAGTATTATATAATATATTTCGATACAATCATTGTACCCTATATGATTTACAATTTAAATAAAATTTCTTAATTATTCTCAATCCATTTTACATACTATAATTGTAAATACATAAGGCAAAAATTACAATATAACACTCTTTTGAACATGCTAATAATTATTCAATTAATTTACTAATTAATTAAGTACATTAATTACAAAATCTTAATCCCTATTTAGGTATATTCCTAATCATATCAATAGCTTATTAGTGCACACTTAAGTATTAGATAAATACATGGGTGCTTTTTATAGCTGAATGAAAACACCTTGGAATTATTGCATATAAATAAAACTTATACTGAGACATTATTTTTATATAACACTCATAGAAATGTATTACATGCTCATAACTCTACTCGTATGGCTGTCTATAACCATCAGTCCCATCGCCAATATAGACGTGAAGACCACATCGGGAACAGTGAGGGGACAGACCATCGATGTGTTGGGAAAACGGGTCAATGTGTTCACTGGTATACCATATGCTGAACCACCGGTCGGTTCGCTCAGGTTTGCCAAACCAAAGGCAATTGAAAAACCACTTCCGGTGCTGACTATAAAATATTAATTAATTACAAAAAAAACTTAAAATAATTTTCTATTAATTAGGGTATCATCGATGCTACCAAACCTAAGGGCTCCTGTATACAGGGCGGTGCTGATGATAGCGAGGACTGCCTGTTTGTGAACGTATGGGCCCCATATCAGCCTAATACAAGTGCCAGCCTATTACCAGTCATGTACTGGGTATTTGGGGGTGGACTGGGCTCAGGGTCTATTTTCTACCCCATGTACGACGCGAAAGCAATTTCTACGTACGATGTGGTGGTCGTGTCGGTTAACTATCGGCTCAAAGCACTGGGATTTTTATACGGAGGGCCAGGATCTGAAGTGCCCGGGAATATGGGTTTCTATGATCAGGCGTTGGGACTTGAGTGGGTTGGTAGTTCATTTTATTTGTATTATATTTTGTTATATTGTAAATAATATATTAAAATTTATAAATTGTATGATAAGGTGAGAGACAATATTCATATGTTTGGCGGCAATAAGGATATGGTGACCATATTTGGAGAGAGCGCCGGCAGTTGGTCCATATCGGCACTGGTACTATCGCCAGTAGCACATGGATTATTTCACCGGGCCATACTTGAATCAGGGGCTGACCTGCATAACCAAAAAGGTGGCGGAGCTCTGAACACAGCGAAAGCATTGAGTGAAACCAAACTACTGTCCAAACACTTTAACTGTACGGATGAACACAAATGGTTGGACTGTTTGAGAGCATTGCCGGCCAAAAGGTTTCTTGAGTACGAGATAACGTTAGCGCCATTGGATGGCACGGAGTTCCTGCCCCTCGCCGCTCAACAGGCCTTCCAACAGCTTAAGTATAATGGTTTGTCATGTTCTTATACCCTGATCACATTTTGATTTACTATTACAGAGATAAGAGTTTTTATTTGGATTTATTTAAAAATATTTTTACTCTCATATATGTGTCCAGACGTGGATCTGATAGCAGGGGTGACCCGTAATGAGGGCTCATATTTGGCCCAAAAGTTTGTGAAATACACGCCCGAAGTGTTCGCGCAAATCGTACGCAAAATGAATGACTATTTTCACGAATTGAATGTCGAGGAAGTGGTCGACCATTATCTGAAAGACGTCGACAAAAGCAGTTCCGATGCCATTCGTTGGCGTTATTATGACTTATTCGGCGATCTTCTCATGACTTGTCCCACGTATCTGTTCGCCAGACACCTGGCCGAACAGTCTGTCCACCGGAATGTCTACTTCTATGAGCTCACATACCAGAGCGACGGCCGGTTAGGCGGTTGCGATGAGAAGACTATGGGTATCTGTCACGGATCGGAACTGGAGTTTGTTTTCGGTAGGTCTGTGCTCATTGGACCCACAGCTAAGAAACTGGACGTAGATTTCAGTCGCGAGGTTATGACCTATTGGACTAATTTCGCTAAAAATGGGTAATTTATGACTTAATGTTCATTAATAATAAATTATTATGTTATGGTTATTGTATTATGTGTTTAAATTTGTTGAATATATAAATGATTTGTTTGAATGCTATATAGAGTGCCCACAAGTGACACAAAATGGCCAAAACTGTCCGATAAAGGGATCGTAAAGGACTTGAATCCACACGACTTCAGCAAAACTCTGAACCAACCATTTAAGGCCACTTGCGATCAGTTTTTCGCCAATTATTTTAAATGATGACATATTTTAAGATATATTTTAATTAATTGAATAAGATCATTAAAAAGTTTAATATTATAATTAAAAGTATTTTATAATACGTGTAGTAATATCGTTATCATAAACTCTGTTTTTGATGTCTCTATTGTAAAATTTTACTCATACCTTAAATAATTATTATAAATAAAAAGTTTTAATAACTTATTTTCAGAATGACTAACAAGATTTTAATAAAATTTCATAATAATAAGTTATTATTATTAATAATAACAATTATACAATACACAAATACTTTAAAATATTAATATAGTAATATTAGAAAACTTAAAATGGAGTTCAATGCAAATCAATTGACAAAAACGTTTAAGCTATTTTTAACGGCAGTGTTATGTCTTATGTTTGGTTTAAATGTAAATGCATTATATTTTTGTAGTCAAATTGGATGTAAACATTATCAAGGTTTTATACTGACTTTACAGTACAGTGTTAATTACTGATTTACTGGTGACAATATAAAGTTTGGATAATGTTTGCAAAATATTATACTTTTTTACTAGTTTGATTACATCTTGTGAAGTAATTAATTAAAATAATCTACTTTGTATAAAAATAATAGGCAATTACTTATACTATTTCGAAACCGGCCTTGCCAATACTACAAACATTATACAACACAACATTGGAAAGCATATCCCATACCACCGACATGGTATACGTTGGTATGACTGTGGGCACTTTAAGTAAGTATATTATTATTTTTAAATTGTTTTTAAATTTGGTTTATTTTTTATTATCATCAAGTCTATGCGTTTCGATACCTAAATAAACCAATTGTCTGTGCGGTTTGCCTAATATTGACGGGGTTAGCTGTAAGCGTAACCCCCAACTTGATACACGTTCAAATATTATACCTAGTTAAATTAATATACGGTGTAAGTTATGTTGGCATAACAGTCCTTACCAACGTATGGGTGATTGAGTTATGGGACCGGCAGTGTGGACCACATTTACAGGCCTTACAGATTAGTGGCGGTGTTGGCAGCTTAATAGCACCAGTAATTGTAAACCCATTTTTAAATTCATCAAAATTATGGATTCCGTATCTGGTTATCGGAATCATATGCATTACATGCGGTATAACACTAGTCCTCATTTATTATTGCAGATCATATATTAGTATAAAAGTTGACACAAACACAGACAGTTTTTATAAAAAGTTCGTTACAGATATTCAAGCACAATTAAATGTTCCAAGGGAAAAGCTTATTTCCTTTATATTATGCGTGTGTTTATTGAGTTGCGTTGGTGGTATTATGACCCCGATACAGGCTTATATATCGACATTTGCAGAGAAATGTGCCCTCAATATGACCCCCTCTACGGCATCGTACTTGGTCACTGATTTTGTAGTTGCTACTATATTAGGTCGAATGGTGACAATTATATTGTCTAAATATTTATTGCCACAATCTATTATATATTATGGACTTATTATCGTATCAGTTGCAATTATTATATGTGTTTCGAGTTTCAAATATTCACAATACGTGTTATGGGTTACGGTGGCCATCATGGGTGTAGGTGGGGGTCCGCTAATCGCTGCAATATATGAATTAACATCTCAAATGACCATGTTCACTAATATGGTGTGCGTGATGTTGGTTTTATGTTATAACATTACCTCAATTGTTATGACATTAATTTTGGGTAGAATTATGGAAATGAATATCTTTTCAATATTTTATTTAATGATTGGTTTGAACACAATTTCTATGATCATTATTCCTATAATTAACTCCAATTATATTGTAGACAAAACTGATGACAATAATTTTACACATGAAGTTACCATTGAGTTAGAGATAGTTGATTAACTGTGATGATTTTTAATGTTAATTTCAATACAGTATTAATATAACAATAAACAAAATAATGACCCATAATTTTGAAATACCTTTGAAACCGTATTATATTATAAATTAATTAATTTTACAATAATTTCTTGATTATTTTTATAAATTTAATATTTATTACAGTAATACAGTAATATTACTGTAATAATAATAAAATTTATTATGTAATTTATAACTAGGTCTTTATTTTTGTATTTTAACAACTATAAAATGTTTTTGATAAATAAATATATCATCACATAATTAATAGATTATTAAAAAGTTATAAATAGCAATGCTTTTGATTGTATAATATTATGTATTATGATTAATTTCAGTCACTTTTACTTTATATGACAATATAATATACACTGTACTGTATTGTACATTATCAATATACGGCATAGAGTAGTAGCTTAACACATATCTTATTAAGCTGGTAAAGATCATCAGTACTTCACGTGAAGCTTCTAAATACTCTATAAATAAATTGAATTGAATTCATTTGAATTGTATTATATTGTATTACATTGAATTGAATAATCCCTTTTTGGAAATGATTACAAATCTATGTTTGGGAGGGTGTGTCACAGTATTATGATAGTATATAATGTATGCTTTATATTATTTACTGGCTATATATCGAGTGAACAGATAAGATTTGAGCAAGTTATAATGATCTTATAAATGTACAGACGTTTTTACTTATGTCATGGCTTTTAGGAAATCTTTTTCTATTAGTAATATAAATTTATTTCAATAGGTGTGCTCTAATTTTAATTGATTTATGATAATTTAAAATTTTGTATACAAAATGATAATTCAAAGAAAACTGATACTATTAACAATCATCATAATCACCGCAATGGTAACATTAAGTTACATATTGAGACAACCGGTTAATTCATACACATATGACAACATCATCTTTACTCCCATTCTCAACGACAATCTCTTAATCACTTACCACTACCACTACCCCTACGAAAACCTCACATTTCTTAACCCCAATCCTTACGACAACATCACTGGATATCCGGACAAAATAGTGCCAAACATTGTTCACTACGTGTTGTTCGCAATACATCGCATAGAGTTCGCGCACTTCCTGTCCATAGTGTCGGTGCTTAGGAACCAAAGGCCGGACATTATATACATTCACTGCGATTGTCATGAACTGGAGGGCGAGTACATTAAACGAGCCGTTA